GCTGGCCAGAGTGAAAGAGGAAGGGAAGGACAGAGCCCCCAACCCTCCAGGATATCAGGCAGGGTGCCAAGAGCAGGGTGCCGCCAGACCTGGGCATAACACAACTTCCTGAGCCAGGAGCCTCTGCCCTGTCTCCCTCCCGCCCTTGCATTCCTGGGCCAGGCAGGCCAAGGGCTGTGGGAGCTGCGGGGGAGCAGATCTCCTGGCGCTTTCGGTGGGCTTGTCAGAGCCCAAGAAAGGTCCCAGATATGCAGGGGGCGAAAGCGAGCTTTTTCAGCTCTTAGAAAGATCGCAAGAACAGGGCGTGCCAAGGGGGCTATGGCCATACTCCTGGAGGTGGAGACAAGGGGCACTCTGCCTTGGTGACCTCTCTCCAGCACCACTGGACAGATGCCAGCTTGGTGGCTCTGTCTTAGCTGCCATCTGTGTTTAGACTTAGGCTGGGCAAAACTGGCACCGTGCCAAGCCTGCCAAGAAAGTTCTAACAGGACCTTTTCACCGGTTCCAATATGTCCTGGGTGCCGAGTTCTTAGACCTGAAAGGGCCAGTTTGCTTGGCTCAAGCGTCAAGTCAACCCCGGGATTCAGACGGCTGGCCTATCCCACCCTGGTAATAAGGACCTACCTCCGACCCCTACCAGGGTCCCGAGGCCCCTACCATGCCGTGTACCCCCCACTCTCTCCCGGAGACCCCTCCCCTCTCTGTCCTGTCTTGACAATTTCTCTTGGCACTGCCAGTCACCCGCTGGGGGCAGTTCCGGAGAGGGAGGAGACTCCGGCAAAGTTATGGGCAGCGCAGGGCTCCTTTCCTGGAACCAGGCAGGGGCGCCGGTCCGCCCACCCCCACTCCCAGCCCGGCACGCCTCCACCTGGACGCACTCACCGTGCTTTGAGCTCCTTAAACTCCTCGCGCACTTTGCTCAGCTCCAGCTGCAGGCGAGCGCGCTCTTTGGCCACCGAGTCGAGGGTCTTGCGAGCATCCCCGAGCTCGGCCTCGTAGGCGGCCTTGATGCCGGACACCTCGCGGCTGACCACCTCTTCAGACTCGGTGATACGAAGGCGCAGCCCTGCGTTCTCCGTCTCCAGCGAGCGCACACGGTCGATGTAGACCGCCAAGCGGTCATTGAGCTCCTGCAGGTCCTCCTTCTCCTGCAGCCGGGTGATGCGGGTGGGCGACAACGGGGTGGAGCTGGCCTGCGCCCCGCTGCGGGTGGCGCGCCGCTGGGACGGAGTCTCCATGGCCGGCAGGGTGGCAGCGCTGCCCGCAGGGCAGGGGTCCCGGAAAGGTCGCGGGGCTCAGGCCAAAGCACAGAGACTGCTCGGGGTCGGAGAGCGCACGCCGCTGCGGCTGGCTCCTGGCAGGCTTAGGGATCTCGGCAGGGAGCTGTCGGACCTTGGGATCTGGGTTGGCCGGTGTAGATGCGGCGCTCCCGCGAGCACTCTGAGTCACCAGCGCCGGGCAAAGGCTCTAATAGGTCCTCCTCTGAAGGAAGGAGGGGCCACTGCTCTTAAAGGGGCAGTCTCTTACCCACAGGGGTGGGGGCCGGAGTAGTGAGGAGAGGCCAGGACCGCCTGGCTGTGGCAGAGTCGGGCCCCACCCTCTCCCGCGCACCTCCTTCTGCCTGAGACTTGGTGGAGCTTCCCCTGCCTCCAGCCCTGCCTGCTCAGCGCTCTCAGCTCCAAGCTTGCCCCCACAGCCTGAGGCCTTCTGGGGTAGAGGGCACAGCCAAGGGAATGACAGTGGGTGGGCAAGGGGGGGGTCTTGCAAGGGAAGGGGGCATGCGGGGAGAGCCAGGAAAGGGGGGAGGACTGAGGCTGGTGCCCATCAGGGTGACTCACCCTTCTTCCACCACTGCTCCCCCTCTTCCCTCCGAGTAGTAACAGTGAGTCACCCCTACCCCCCTCTGCACGTGGGCAGTCCATTCAAACTGCATCTCCTCCGTATGCCAGGGGTGGGGTGGGGTGGGGTGGGGAAGGAATGCCTGAGTTTCCTGGGGAGCAGCGAAGAAATTCTGGGACTGTTTTCTTTATGGTCTCAATTTGGGGGCAGGGATCAGGAATTTGGGGTCCCTTTTTCCTATCTTCTGTCCCAATTTACCTCCTTTCAAAATAAAACATTGGGGGAACCAGCAGTTAGCGTAATGGCTATGTCACTGGACTCCCACATAGTCGACCGCAGTTCGAGTCCTGGACCCGGTGGCTTAAAACTCACGCCGGGCGCGTGTGCGTACATTCCCAAGATCCCGAGAGGAGAATGGAGGAGAAGGGATTGCGGCATGACCATCCCCCCTGGGGGGTGATTTCTCACTTTCTGTCTCTATGTCTCTCTCTGTCTGTCTGGCAAGTGCACGTGCCCTATAGCGAAAAACCTCTCCAAAAAAAAAAAAAAATCAAGCATTGGATCTTAAACCCAAGTATCAAGCCGCAGTCCCCCACAGAATGCCTAGAAGAATCCCCCCTTGGGACTCCCATCCCCTTCCTGTGTGCCAGAGCAGTTGGAAAAGTAGCTGTCAAAGTCCCTCCTTTCTTGAGTACCTTTCTATTGCTTACCCCCACCCCAGGACTGTGTTTTTATTCCGTACTGTACTTATTTTAATGGATAATTTAAAACAGATACCGGAGCTGTGCGTGCGTTCATCACGTTGCCAGGACACCAGGCCCCAGATTTTTGTGGTTCCCAGAGGGGCCTTGCAATGGGGGGGGGGAGCATAGCCAATGCTGGCTCTCCGTCCTGGCTTCAGCCAGAGAAGAGAGCGCAGAGAGCAGGAACCAAGAAGACACCACAGCCTTGCACCCACTTACCTGGCATTCCTCGCCAGCCAGGTCGACTTTGCAACTGGCTCTGGGGAGGAGCCAGGCCCTCTCACAAAACAGGATCACCAAGTCCTCAGCCTCACTGCTGAAGGCTCTGGAGCCTCATCCTCAGCCTCAGCAAGAACCCCTTCGATCACCCTTCCGCTCCTCTCCCCCAGTCCTGGCCTTGGCTCACCAGCCAGCCCCTGCTCTCTGAGGTGACTGCTGAGCTTCTGGGCCCATCTGCCTGCATGCCCTGCCCCGCTGCCTCCCCAGCTTATGCTCTGATTAAGAACCAGGGAAACTGAATTATGCTGCCAACTCCAACAGCTCTGGGGTGTCAGAGCTTCGCTTATACCCAAGGGGAGTGGTTGGACAGGTCCTTGGCTCTGGGTTCTGGAGTCAGGCCTCCGATGGATGAGGGGCTGGATGGCACTAAGGCTGAGACTCAGTATTCAGGGAGGGGGTGGGGTGCTTAGGTTGCCATGTCCGTGGAGGTGACTAGACAGTGTGGTGATTCCCCAAGCGAGGGGACCCAGGATCTGGCTTCCCCTCTGCTCCGCAGCCTCCTTCCCTGGGCGTGGTACCCACCCTCAGCTTCCCAGACAAAACAGAAAGTCTTGTTCTGCTTCTCCCCCTTCTGTTCTCCGCTCCCGAAGCAGAGGTGGCGAGCGAGCCATGAAACGTGAGGGATGGGCACGTGCTGTTCCCGCTGGGCGGCCCTCCTGGGCACTGAGCACCCCCCTGCCTGGCCCAGTCCCCCGCCTGGCTGGGGGAACAAAACCACACTTAACTCTTCCTCTCCTGGGCCTCCCATCTTTGGGGAAGTGGTTCAAGAGGAGAGTTTTCACTCTGAACTTTTCTCTGAGCTCTTTCCAAAGATCCCCACCAAAATGGCCTTGATCCTAAATTCGAACTAAAAAGTGAGCTTTTATCTTGAACACTCAGTCCTAACTTCGGACCCCAAATGCCATAAATCTGCTCTTCTCACGCCAGGGTATGGATCACCCACCCCAACAGCAGCAGAAGAGAGTCGGAAGGCCAGGTCTAGAGGAGCCAGAGTTGCCAGGGCTAGGGCCGGAGGGCACTGACCAGGTTCCAATCCTGCCTCACACTTGCTGTGGGATGCTACATCTGCTACTGAATTATCTGCACCTCGGTGTCCTCATCTGTAAAATGGGCAGAGTGGCTACCAAAGACATGGGGATTAGGGGCCTGGGTGTACAGAACTCGACACCCCATGCCATAGAGTAACAGCAATTCCACGTGTGCTCTCAGGGAAGCGTCCTGCAGTGGGGAAGACAGAGCAAGAAGCAAAACCCATCTGCACATGTGGTTAGAGAGCAGCGTAGGAGTCTGCGCTGCATAATGCATTCCAAACAGACCTCAGCGTCTGGGAGCTGGAGCATTAATGAGTGAAATCAGAATACAAAGGCCAAGTCCAAGGGGTGGTTTAGGCTCTCATCTTTAAAACCAGTGACCTGGGGCCTGCAGGTGGTGTGGTGGTTAAAGGTGCTAGACTCCCACATGGCTGACCATGGTTCAAATTCTGAACCTGGCAGCTTGCTTGCTTTCTCTCTCACTCTATACCTCGCTAGTCAAATTAAAAAATAAACAAAGTCAAATAAAATAATTCATATTTTGTCTATTTATTCGTTCATTTATTTTCATTTGATCAAAGAAAGACAGACCCACAGAGAGAAGGAAAGTGAGAAAGCAAGCCACCAGGTCTGGGACTTGAACTGTGGTCGGCCATGTGAGAGTGTCCAGTGCCTTAACCACTATGCCACCTGCTAGCCCCAATAAAATATTTTAAAAATTTTAAAAACCCTAAAATTAAACCAATGACCTTAGAGTAAGAGGCTCCTTTGTTTTCTTTTTTAAAAAAATTATTATTTTATTTAACTTTATTTATTTGTTTATTTTTAATTTGACCAGAGAGGACAGAGTGAGAGCGGGGCAGGGTGGGGGGGAGTGAGAAAGGAAGCTGCCAGGTTCAGGACTCAAACCAGGGTTGGCCATGTGGGAGTCCAGCGTCCCTAACCACCACACCACCTGCTGGCACCACCTTTGTGTTCTTACAGTATCCTGACCCTTCCTCCTGAAAATGTTGCGAGGGACAGGAAGGACCTGGTCTTGGTCACCTGTGTCCCTAACACCTGGCCCAGTGGCTAGCACACAGCAGATGCTGTCTTCTTGGAAGGAAGAAATATTTCTCGCCTGGCCACTTTTCATTCAGGTGAGTGACGCTGGGCAAGTTATTTCGTTCTATCGGCCTCAGTTTCCTCATCTGTAAAGTGAAGGGCTGTGATAAACAAGGTAGCATGCACTTGAAGAAAGGCTTCTTGGAGAGGGTAGATTTAGGGACTTTATAGAAGAGCCTTACACACAGAGAATTCGCTCATTCAACAGGTATTTATTGGGCCGGCTCCATAGGCAGTGGTTAAGCTCTGTATGGAGGGAGTCAGATCCCATATAGTCATGGTTCAAATCCTGGTTGTGGCATGAAAAACATGCTGGGTGCATGTACGTGAGTGTCCGGGAGGAATGGAAAAAAGGGGACTATGGTGTAAAACCAGACCCTGTTGGAGGTGCTTTCTCTCTCTCTGGCATCTGTACATACCCTCTGGCATATAAAACAACTTGTTAGACACCTACTATGTGCCAGTTTCTGTTCTAGTTACCGGGGATACAGCTGTGAATAAAACAGATAAAAGTCCCTACACTCATGGAGCAAACATTCTTGTGGAGGGAGAGAGGCAATAAGCAAAAGACAGAATTCCAGTTTGTCAAAGGTGGTGTTATAAGAATAAAAATACTGAGCAGGGGGGCTAGCAGGTGGCATGGTGGTTAAAGGCGCTGGACTACCACATGGCTGACTGTGGTTCAAATCCTGGACCTGGTGGCTTGCTTTCTCACTTTCCCTCTCTCTCTCTCCCCCTCTGTCTGATCAAACTGGAAAATAATAATAATAATAAATAAAGTTAAATCATTCTTTAAAAAAAAAATACTGAGCAGGGGAGATAGAGGGTTGCATGGTGGTTAAGGAAAGGGGATTCTCACATGCCCGGCTGTGGTTTGAGTCCCGGACCTAGCAACTTGCTTTCTCACTTTCCCTCTCTCTCTCTTGCTCTGTCCCTCTCTGGTCAAATTAAAATAAATAAATAAATAAATAAATAAATAAATAAATAAATAAAGTTAAATAAGTATATATTTTTAATACTGAGCAGGACAATGCTCAATGTGTAACTAACGCTTTTACTATCTTTAGAGTTGTGTGTTTCACATACATGCTCAGCTTGGTCCATAAAACCGCCTCATGGATTGGAGGTTATCTCCCTGCTTTTTCTTACAGGTGAGCCTGACTTTTCCAAAACTAGACAGCCTCACCCAAGTCCAGGACCTGCGTCACTATCCTGCTACTTTGGCTGGACATGTGGGAGAAGTATGGGTGGCCTGGTGCCAGGAGAAAGTCTGTGCAGAGGTGCTAGAGTGAGAAAGAGCCGAGTGTGTGGCCCGATGTGCTGGGGGAGCAGAGAGTCACTAGAGGTACGGAGGCAGAGACAAGGACTGGTGCTGGGATGGAGTCCGACAGTTCTGGCTGCTTGCTAGGGCTTAAGGGTCAAGGAAAGAAGGAAGTGTCAAGATCAGCAAGGAGGGGCCAGCAGGTGG